CCGGGGACATCGACCAGCTGCTTGACATTAGCATTGTAAATGAGGAGCCCAAACTGGTCGAGCTCGAGCTGGACCTTTTCGAAAACCTCCTTCTTGAACTCCTTGGTGCCCTTGAAGATCTGTTCCATGGTCATGGAGGCGGCAAGCACGCGGGTCTCGCCCTCGATGATGCCCTGGACGAGCTCGTTGACATGGTTGGAGTGCTTGTCGTGGGGGGCGATGAGCTTCGTGTACTTGTGGAGGCTCTCAGGGTCGTCTATCCGAGGGCCGATCGTGAAGACGGCAGGGAGGATGAATGGGAGCTTCTCGGCGCTCATCGCCTGGACTTCGAAGGTGTAGTTCACCGGGGAGATGTCGAATCTCATGCAGGACTGTCCCGGTAAAACCCATGCCTTCTTGGCAATCTTCACGTCACTGATGCCGAAGCCTGTAATGGCCAAGTACTCTGATGCCCCAGCTACTCTATACATCTTCTCTGTCCTCTCTCTCTGTCTTGTAACAAACTAACAAGTACGAACTATGAATCTATGATCTAAGAACGAGATTTAGAAGATGGTTTTCTTGAAAGAATGTAATTTCAGAGTCTCTTTGGTGTCTCTTCGATATATATAGCTATTTATAGAAAAAGGAGGATGCTTCGACGAAAATACCTTTGAACTGATAGGATTCTTATTTCCTAGCACCAATAGGACTTGTGCTAAGGCGTTGGGAATTTATCACAATCCTACTACTACTCCGGTATATGCATATTCCTAATTTAAGATTTTATTTTTCATCACATATTTTGCCCATAAATTGAATCAAATTTAAAGGAAACAACCCTTTCCAACATTGTTACCAAATTCAAACTGGTTCACTTTCTTTACCAATTTTTATGATTTATTTTATAAAATAATAACATTCCTGTTAACTCTTATTTTATAGATTTTTTAAGAAGTTTTTAAATTAACACCAATTTATAAAGGATTGAATTGAAAATAACTTTAATAAAAATTGTAAATAATTACAGACCCTCGAATTTGAGTGGGGGAGTATTAACTTTCCTAAATATAAACTATAAAAACGGTTACGTTGTAGTCCTATACGTTTTTTTCCTGAAGGAAAGTTCCATAACAATTAGAGCACTCATCCAAAGAGTCGCTTCCATAATTGTTTTACTTATTTTTTTATTTCAGTCCTATTTTATAAAATAATTTTGACATCATTTATTTACAAAGTATAAAATTTCTAACCATTACTCTATATATAGGACACAATTTGGGTGATAGGAGAATTTAACCATATAGTACTAAAACATAGTGAGTTTTCTAATGTAGTACCATATGTTTTTATTTTGCAATGTTGTACCACAATTTATGTCTATTAGACATTGTTCAAGTAAATTCCCACCATCACTGGACATTGTTCAAAGTAAATGTTTACTACCAGTAGACATTATTTCCACCACTGACATTATTCAAGTACCATCTAGAAAATAAAAAACTGTAGGTATTACATTAGAATAAGACATACTCCGTATATTTTAGTATTATTCAGTGTAAATTTCTCTTGTATGATATTTGGTCATACAAATAGGGTTTGATTGTGTCCGGTTTCTAAAATTGATAACTGTTACCCTCCTACCTCGTCCCCTAAACAACATTCACCCCTTTTAATTGCCTTTTAATTTATTTTGGGGCGATTTTGGTTCAAATGGTCCTACCCAAGAACTAATTTGAGTGCGTGAGTAGTGCATGCCATCAAGGAGTGGGGTGTGTCTTTTTGTTTTATGGTTAGCAAGGGCAAGATTCCACATCGCTTTCCTTTGAGCAACTCAAAGATATGCATTTTAGGACATTATAAATAATGGACCCTAATTGAATTTACTGTGACCTTCACACTTTGCTTATAAAATTACCCTCCACTTACCCTCCGGCGGTAAGTAGAAGAAGGCTGGCGATGGTAAGTGTAACATCATCAGTAGAGCGAGGTGTCTATATACATTACCAAAAAGTAATGTGAAATATCTATATACGGTGTCACATTATCACAGTGTGAATTCCTATTTTAAGGATAAAAATATAGAGCTTTTATTTTTGTAATTTCCTTATGTTTTTTCTTATTTAAAGTAATTTTTTCAAAAATATACGTTCAAAATCTTTTCACGAGATATCTATCCAACGACATCAATATTGCATATATAATTTTGACATTATGTCTTGATTATATTTTTGTTTAAACACTTTCGAATTGAAATTGATGGATATCGGGTTTAATGGACCCGACTCCAGGCCCAATAAAGGCCCATAATGGTACGAGTACGAGATGTATAAGGTCAGGTGGAGGTAACGGGCCGAGCCCGTTACTACGCGTGTGGCAATGGAAAGAGACGGCCCTGTCATGGGTTAAATCAAGATGACCCAGTCCAAAGAAGGAACGGGACACGTGGCCCACACCACTAGATTGTGGACGAGATAGGAGGAGAACAAGACCGGAAAAGAGGGGATCACAACCCCATCATCTCCATAATTTCTCCCATTTTGTATTATTTTAATTATAATATTAGAAATACTATAAAAGGGGGGAGAACCCGCCATTGTAAGACATGAAGTAATTATATACTTAATCAGAGAATATTACGAGATTATATCTTTCTGATCTATATTACGTTCTTGGTCCGCCATCCGATCGGGTTAATCCCATCATTGGTGCTTTCATTGAGAAGAAACTGTGAGATAAGGCTGTGAGATTATGGCCGGACGAAGGACGAGACGTAACACCGCTGCTTCCGCCCAGTCGACGGTGAGGAGTGACCACCCTGAACAGGGTATGATCGTTCCTGTAAATGGGTTGGAAACGGCGTTGAATAATGTTGCTAACATGATGGCCAACATTATGGAACGATTGGATAAGGCTCTCCCTAGTCCATCCGGTACCCGGGACATCCCTGCCGGGCAACCCCGCCAGGTCCTGCGTACTGCGAGTTCTCCTATCCTCCAGGAACTTCATGATCCGGAGGAGGTCGAGAGGGAGAGGCAGGCCGTTGCTAGACGCCGAACGGAGGAATTGACCCAGAATAGTAAGGTGAATGGAGACTGGGCCAAGGCTGCAAGCCAGGTCGTCGGCAATGGAAACGGAAACCCGCGGGGAACTGTCTTTGAAAGGATATCTCGCCAGAAAGCTCACGTTAGTGAGAGGCTGGGGAAGAATCTGGAAAAGGCACCCCAGGGTTGGGTACGACCCCAGGCCAGCCGGGTGGCGTCTTCTAACCGCGAACCCCGCCAGCGAATTGGCCGCGGTGGGAGTCAAGCACCGGTGCGGTCATTGATAGTTATGGATGAGGACGAAGTTCAAAGCCAAGTCAGGGTCCCAGTACCACAGCGTCTGGGGCCGCCGGTGCCGGAAGCGGGCGAATTCCAAGATCTGAGGCAACAGATCCAGGAGATGCAGAGGAAGATAAATAGGGGACGAGTATTCACAACTCGGACGAATACTCCCTTAGCCCCGGAGATCTTTGCGGAACCATATCCGCAGGGATTCAAGATGCCGTTCGTTAAGCGTTACGATGGGGAATCAGATCCCCAGGAACACATAAATAGCTATGTCCAGGTGATGATTGCCGTTGATGCCAGCGACGCATTGATGTGCCGGTGTTTCTTGCAAATAGTAGATAGCAAGGTGGCGGATTGGGTGAACCACATTCCTGCCGGATCGATCCGGACATGGGATGAATTGGGATTGCGGTTCTTGGAGAATTTTGCCGGGAACTGCCGTCCCAAGAAGCATTTCACTCATCTGGCTTCAGTGCGGCAGAAGCACGGAGAATCCTTGAAGAATTTCCTTATCCGATGGAGAAAAGAGTCCAGGGAGGTTGAAGGAACCGACGACAAATCCAGGTTTGCCATGTTCACGGCGGCATTGCAGGACGGTCTCCTTCATACTGATCTCACAACTCATCCCCCGGATACCTTTGAAGAAGCAATGGTCCAGGCCGGAAGGTATGTGACCCTAGAGGAGAGAAAGGAGGAGAAGAAAGAAAAAACTCCCAAAGAAGAAGAAAAGGCGGGAAATAAGAAGCCGTTCAAGAACAAGAAGCAGGGCTTCCCGGATGGCCCAAAAGGCACAAGCCCTGGGACCTCGGAGAAGCACAAGTCTGCCAATCCAGTCTTCACATTGCCAGTGGCAGAGGTCATGGCCCATGCCGCAAATCAGGGACTCATGACTTATCCTACCTATTCCCAGAAGGTCTGTAATCTGGAGGATACTGGAAAATGGTGTGCGTACCATCGCAAGAATGATCACAACACGGAGGATTGCTATACCTTGAAAAATGAGATGGCGAGGCTAATCCGCCGGGGCCATCTGAAGAAGTTTGTACAAGATGGTGACGCGGAAAATCCCGGGAATACTCAGAATGGGAAGCGTAGAGATAAAGAGGTAGCCCAGGCTGAGGCCCGGGAAAAACGCCACATCGGGCTTGAAGATGAAGAGGAGGATTCAGAACCCGCACCGCACCGCCAGAAGAGGCACCATGGGTGTAACTTCATCATCGGAGGGAATACTGGCGGAGATTCAGCCACGAGCCAGAAGAAGTGGGCCAACGCGGCGATGGTCAATAAGGTGCTGGTCCCAGAAGGTAAGAAGCTGAAAACTGAGCCAATTGTATTTGCTAATGCTGATCTGCCGGAAACAGGGGTCCCCCATTGGGACGCCCTGGTGATTACTATTGATATAATGGACTTACTGATCCATAAAACCCTTGTGGATACGTGAAGCTCCGTTAATATCATGTACATGGATACGTATAAGGCTCTTGGTTTGACAAGGGATGAATTATCACCCATCAAGACTCCACTGACCGGGTTGAAGTAGGGGATACTAAGGCTACCCGGAAGTTGGACATGGAATTCGTTGTGGTGGGGATAATCTCCAACACAAACATCATCCTGGGCAGACCCGGATTGGAAGATTTAGAGTGTGTCATCTCACCTCGTCACTTGTGCATAAAGTTCCCAACCCCCCACGGAGTTGGAATTGCCAGGGGATCTCAGAGAGTGTCCCGGGCGTGGTATTTGAAGGCAACCAAACAGCCTGTCAAGTATGATACCCAAGTGGGAGAAGTGACTGCACAGCTCCTGATGGCCGAGGAAAGGCGTCCCAGAGTAGAAGTTGCCGGCGACATTGAAGAAGTGGAACTGGAGCCAGGCACGCCGGGGAGGTTAGTCAGAATTGGCAAAGAATTGGCAAAGGCCTGGGAGCTGAGCTCAGATCACGAGTGATCTCAGTCCTTAGAAGGTTCAGGAAGGTTTTTGCATGGAGTCCAGCTGATATGCCAGGGCTGGATCACAAGATTGCAGTTCATCGCCTTAATGTCTTGCGAGATGCTAAACCGGTGAAGCAAAAGCGAAGGCATTTGTCGCAGGAAAGGAGAGATTTCGTAAAGAATGAGGTAGCGACTTTGCAGAGCATTGGTCATATCCGGGAGGTGCAATACCCGGATTGGTTGGCAAACGTGGTTTTGGCGCCCAAGCCTCCTTCGTGGAGGATGTGCGTCGACTACACAGATTTGAACAAGGCATGCCCCATGGATCCGTTCCCTCTCCCCAACATTGATCAGATGGTGGATGAGACTGCCGGATCAGAGTTAATGAGCTTCATGGACGCTTTCAGCGGCTACCATCAGATTCGGATGCACCTGGCTGATGCTGAAAAAACGAGTTTCATGACTCCGGAGGGGCTGTACTGCTACTTAGTGATGGCTTTTGGACTGAGAAATTCCGGGGCGACATATACCCGGATGGTTTCTCACGTGTTCAAAGCTGTCCTAGGGCGAACCATGGAAGCATATGTTGATGACATGATTGTCAAGTCCAAAGAGGCCCGAGACCATGTCCGTGACCTTGAAGAGGTCTTTGAAATCATGATGAAGGTAAATTTGAGATTGAACCCGAAGAAATGTACTTTTGCTTTTCAGGGTGGAAAATTCCTTGGGCACATGGTTAGCCGGAAAGGGATTGAGGCAAACTTGGAAAAGGTTAGGGCCATCATGGAGATGGAACCCCCAAAGACAGCAAAGGAAGTTCAGCGGCTGACAGGAAGGTTGGCGGCCTTGAATCGTTTCCTTTCAAAGCTTGCAGAGAAGGCGCACCCATTCTTTGCGGTAATCAAGAAGAGGGCGACCTTCGAATGGACGCAGGAATGTCAAGAAGCATTTGAAGAACTGAAGAGATATCTGGCAAGTCCACCGGTTTTATCTAAGCTAGAACCTGGAGATATCCTGACTCTATACTTGGCAATTGCAGATTGCGCCATCAGTACTGTGATTGTAAGGGAAGAAAATGGAGCCCAGCATCCGGTCTACTACGTCAGTAAGACCTTGAGAGATGCGGAGTTAAGGTATTCCCGTCCAGAGAAGGCCATGTTAGCAGTCTTCTGGACGGCGAAAAGATTAACTCCGTACTTTCAGGCTCACCGGATTGTTGTGCTCACTAATGAGCCTTTGGCGTCACTTACCCGAAGCCCGGCAGCATCTACCCGGATGACCAAGTGGGCAGCCTTCATCAGTCAGTATAATGTGGAGTTCAGGCCGCGTCCATCAATCAAGGGGCAGGCACTCGCCGACTTTCAGGTTGAGTGCACCGCCAGAGAAATGACAAGAGCCCAGGTTGGAGTCAAGGGGCAGGCACTTTCGCCGACTTTCACATAAATATACAATTAATTCCAGTGTTCCATTCATTTCTTTACTGCAAGTCTCAGTATATTCCAATTTTCAAGTACCGGGATTTTCACCAATGTGTTTTCCAGTCCTTGTGCTATGTGTTCATATAGTTATCATATTTAGCATTTTATATCCCATTTATACATTCTTGAATATCAATTGACCCAAATATCCAACCTCACCACCTATTACTATTAGCTCAAATGGTAGAGTGTTTGTGTGCCTACATGAGTACACAATCGAATGTGTGTATTGTGCAAATCTACTTTTTACTAAAAATCCGTTCGAGTGTTATGCCTTGGCCTCCATGACATAACTTTATTGTATTCTCTTGCAATTGGGAATTCAAGGGATTCATTTTATAGAATGGTTGGAGCTGGTTTATGTTGTACCATAACATAGGATGCACACAAGTGATAGAACAAAGAGACAATCATAGCAGAAGCCTTATAGTTATCAAATGGAAAATGACATAAAATTGGAGTATGCCAAGGGGATGTTTCAAAAGAATGGATATACAATTCTTGTTCTTTTGATGATTCCCAATATATTGACTATTCAAGTGCACCTAGTGTGTGTTTATTTTCCTTATTTTACAGCCTACGTAAGTGGCTATTAACTAGATAAACAGTATACAATGTAAGGCAGAAGGAGATGAGTTAGACACACTTTTATTCTGCCAATGATAGTACTCCATGTTTTTAACTTGTCAAACAGTCAGATTTTTAAGGATGATAATTTCATTTGGTCAGAGTAAGCACTTTTACATCTAGTAAATATTTATAACTTTATGCCAAACACAACCTTAGGCTTGAAGAATGCATTTTACTGAAAAGGATTGGACTTAAAATTAGATGTGAGTAGAGAAATGGGATCATTCTGTACTTTTTCTCTTCTTTTTTTTAGCTTTACTAACTTTTTTTTAAAAAAAAATATGCTTTACTGCTTACAACAACAACAAAAACAAGCTCAGTACAATCCTACAAAAAGTAGAGTTTAGGAGGGTATGTGTAGACCCAACTACTTGGTAATATACTGACATCATAATTCATGTATAACGTCATATTAAGGCATCAGTCTATAAAAATAATATTTAAACATGAAATAATAAAGTAAAAAAACATGAAATAATATTAAAACATAGCATAAGTCTTAAGAATTGCCAACCATATCTAACAACTATCCTGCAAGTAGTAATTGCAGGGAAAAACTTAAATAGTGAAATATCTGTAGAGAGAAATCTACGCCTCCGATTTACCCAAAGTACCCATCCAAGCAGGTGGCAGCATCCCAGTTTGCTCCTGAACAGTCTTGAACAAAGGCGGCAGCATCTTGTAGACGCCTGCAACTTCCTTCATGGCCCCACTGCCGCCGCTTGCATCACCGGCTTCACCACCATTGTTCCAAATGCTAATCTTAGGCGCAAGTCCTCTGACGGCCTCGCCATTGATTTTCGCAATCTCTTGGAACATTCCACCGTTGATCATCAAGTAGTCCCTCAATGCAGCATAGTTTCCTCCCAATGCATCCATCAGCGTGCGCAAGTATGCCCCCTGAGCCTGAGCGAGGATCACCATCCCCTCTGCCTCCCTCTGCTTGCTGTACAATTCTCCGTCTGCTCTTTGCTGGCGAGCATAAAGCTCTGCCTCCGCTGTAGCCCTCTGCGCCGCTGCCTCCTTTTCTTTCTGGAAGAGTTTTGCCTCCGCCTCTTTCTGGTTCTTGTACAGCTCCCAGTTTGCCTCTTGCACCTTGGTTTCATACTCAACGCTGGCTTTGCTCAAGAACTCAGCCTTGAGCTTCTCTGTTGTGCCCAGAGCATTCATCTTCTCCACCTCCTTCTGCAGTTCAGCCTCTCTCATAGCCACAGCTTTGCTTGCCTCCACCTCTGCAAGCTTAGCCGCCTGTGCCCACGCGGCTTTCTTCTTGGCCAGTTCGGAGTTCGCCTGGGCAACCTCCGCCTCCAGCTCATTCTCGTACACCTTCACGTCTGTTTTCACGCGCACCTCGGCCTTCTTGCCTTCCCCTTCCCTCTGAGTGGATATGATCTTTGTCTGGGCGTCAATCTTGGCGGCATTCTGAAGGGTCTCCCCCACCCTCTCCTTGGATCCGATCTCTCCCTTCATCTTGGCCTCGGCCACATCAATCTTGGCTTGGTTGGCGGCTTCCATCTGGGTCTTCTGGCCCAAGTAAGAGAAGTACTCGTGGCCGGGGACATCGACCAGCTGCTTGACATTAGCGTTGTAAATGAGGAGCCCAAACTGGTCGA